CCTGGAGAACATTATTAACCCTGACTCAAGCTATCTCAATCAGACTGGAGAGAAAAGCTTCAATTCCATCATCACTGGGGCAAGGGGTGGGGGGTCTCTCTCTCTTCTGGATGTGAACTACTATGGACTGAGTCTGTGTCCCCCTAAAATTCCTATGTGGAAGCATAATCCTCAGTGTGGTGGCATGCAGAGGTGGGGCTTGTGGGAGGCAGGGCCCTCATGAATGTGATGAGTGTCCCTACAGGCAGAGAGCCCAGAGAGCTCCCTTGCCCTTCCACCACAGGACGGCAGCAAGAAGACAGCAGTCTGTGAACCAGAAGAGGTTCATCACTGCTTGATCCCGGACTTCCAGCCCCCAGGACTGTGGGAAACAAATGTTTATTGTGTAAGCCACCCCAGTCTGTGGTATTTTGGTATAACGACCTGAGCTAAGACATAAGCGAGGAAAGAGGTTGCCCTGGCTGGCGCCGGCAGCCATCTTGTGATGACGAGAAGCAGTTGTGGTGTGAAGCTGTCTCAAGACCCCATGGAGATGGGGGTTCTTCGGCAGGCACCGAAGCTGCAGAAGACAGAGGCAAACTTTCTACCTAAAATAAGAACAGGAAACTCAAGGGTTGGGTAGAAGTGACAGAAGATGGAGAGGAAAACAGAAAGAGAGAATGGGACCAAGCAACATGGCAGGATCCTGAACGTAAAAATGGACGAGAGCACTTCAGGGCTGGGGGAATCTAAAATTTAATGTTCCATTTATGGCACAGAAATCCTTTCCTCTTCCCAAACACTTAGAAAAGTCCTCTGTAGACCCAAATGCCGGCTGAATGAGATTCTTTGTCAAAAATGAAAGAGAAGGGGAGGAGTAGAGAGCCCAGGAGCAGGATGGGGAGAGCAGGTAGTCAGAGACTTTGGCTGCAGACAACAAACCTGGACTCTGGCTGGTTTGGACAGAAAAGGAATTTATTGATGTCCTGCCCCTAACTCCCTTGGACCACCTCTGAGGTCATACTCTAAGCAGGCAGCTTCATCCTCTGGGTCCTCAGACGCTTGCTTAGTTTGAGTACAGAGCAGTCAACAATGGCAGAAATGTAACATCCTGAGGCCACCCTCAACCAGTGAGGGGCAGGAGTCAGTGAATAAATACCCAGCCCCCTGTCCCTCAGGGGGACAATTATGATGCATAATGCTTCTTCAGAGAGTCCCTAGCAGAAGTGAGCCCCACTTGCCCACCAAGTTAACCTGCTCATCAGCGTACCCTTTATTGGCATTTCTCCCTTCCCCAGTACTTCCTGGCATCGCCTCCTACAGTAGATGTGTGTTCCAAAGATGGCCACAACACCTCCACCCACAAGCTCTTTTAGAACTTTGCTATTCCTTCCATCAAGAGATAGAGTCTCTGTCCCCTTCCCTTGAGCCGGCGGGGGGGTGGGGGGGTGGGGGGAGGAAAATTCTTGTGACAGCTCCCGCAAATAGAACACTGCAGAAATGATGCTATATGACTTCCAAGACTAGATTGGAAAAGGCCACGAAGTTTCTGCCAGGTTCTCTTAGGACACTCACTCTTAGAAGCCAGCCGCCATGCCATGAGGAAGCCCAGGCCACATGGAGAGGCCACATGTAGGTGTCCTGGCTGACAGGCAGTACCATCCAACAGATGCATAATGGAAGTCACCTCCAGATGATTCCAGCCCCGGCCATCAAGTCACTCCCCACTACTGAGTCACCTGGATGATGGCCCAGACACTGTGGAGAAGAAACAAGCAGTCCCCGCTGCGCCCTGTCTGAATTCTTGACCCACAGACTCTGTGAGGATAGTAAAGTGATTATTTTATGCCACTACGTTTTGGAGTGGTTTGTTTTGCAGTGCTAATAACTAGAATATTTCCCAAATAAACTACCTGCACACAGTCCCTGTCTCAGCATCTATTCCAATATAATGGAATTGCTGATTGGGCAGGTCAGGTCAGGGTCCATCCAGGTGGGGTCCATCTACCCCACCATGGCATCTGTCCCCCAACACAGTTCTGATAGTGGGGAAAGAAGGTTCCCCATAGGAAAACTAGGTTACAACTAACAGGCTTTGCTAGTTCTTTTTTTTTTTTTTTTTTAAGATTTATTTATTTATTTGAGAAAGAGCACGAATGTGCACAGGGGGAAGGGGCAGAGGGAGAGAGAGAGAATCCCAAGCAGACTCCCCGCTGAGCACGGAGCCTGATGAGGGGCTGGATCTCATGATCCTGAGATCACGACCTGAGCCGAAATCAAGAGTCAGACGCTTAACTCACTGAGCCACCAGGCGCCCCCAGACCTTGCTAATTCTGTTCAGCAGCCAGGGGCCATGAACTTCAGGGGACAGTGGACCCTCCTGAACCCAGAGGTTAGTGCCAATTAAGCTAAGCCAATCATGGTAATTCCACTCCCCTTGCCAAGGATTGGTTTGGGCATGGACATGCGATATAATTCTTGCCAACGAGATAAGAGGAAAAGGCTTGTGGGCAGGGAGTGGAGGGGTAAGGAACGGTGAGTAAAGCTTTCTTCACTCTTAAAAAGAAGCACAAAGGGATGTCCTAAGTTCTGCCTTTGAAAGTTGTTGTATAGTGATGTGATGCTTGGAGCTCCAGCAGCCATCCTGGGACTGCAAGGGGGCAAGCTCGAGGATTAAAAACCAGAACACAGAGGATGAAAAACTAAGAACCTACTGCCTACAATGGCAAAATGGGGCATTACACAAAGCATGGAGCCCTTAAGCGAACCCTCACAATTCACACCCATAACAACTTTGAGTGACGCGCAGTATTGCTCATCAGAAAGGGTAACGAGTTCAGGTACAGAAAGTGTCAGTAACTAGTCCATGCAGCGGGCTCCCCTCCCCACGGTGGGTACCATCTCTGGTTTTCTCCAGTTAAGACGGTGATATGCATTCCCCATGCAGATGCCAACCAGGGTGAAGAGGAGGACAACCAAACCAGATCAGCCTGTATTTACCAGATATGCCTGTTTTCAGCCAGGTCTGAGACTGTCCAACCTCCTCGCTTCTGCTAGAGCTGTGTTTTTGGCTGGAATGTCCTTCAGGTCTACCTTCCATTCAACACCACGCATGTGCCACGTACCTTTCTAAACACTTCATGCGTTACTCTCACTCTCCCTGGCAATCCAGAGAAGAAACTGAGGCAAGAGAAGGTGAGTTAGCCCCCCTCCCAAAATACACACACACACCCTCAAGTCACACGATTTAGTACGTGGTTGGAGTCAGGATTCAAATCCACGCCATTCAAGTGACTCCAAAGCCTACACCTGCTTCTTCCCTCTCCCTCCCCAGGACCAAGCCACAAGTTCCAGTTTGAATGCCTCTCCCCCAGGGAGCCTTTCCTGATGCGCTCAAATAGGGCCTCTCCTTCAGCACTCTGGATGTTCATGATGAAACCAGTCACGTTCCTTGGTTACTGCTGTGGAAGCCCTGATTTACCCCCCACTTTGCCCTCCATCAGCCATTATCCCCAAATGTTCCCCAAATCTCCCCACAACCATTTTAACAGAAGAGAACAATGAGGCTCAGAGAGGTTAAGCAACTTGCCTGAAACCACACAACTAGGCAGTGGCCCAATGGTATCCAAACCCAGGCAAATCTGTGCCAAAGTCCTAATGTCGCCATGGATGCTGATAAACACCTGGAATTTAAACCAGGAGCCTCTGGGGCGCCTGGGTGGCTTAGTCGTTAAGCGTCTGCCTTCCGCTCCAGTCATGATCCCAGCATCCTGGGATCAAGCCCCACATGGGGCTCCCTGCTCCGCGGGAAGCCTGCTTCTCCCTCTCCCACTCCCCTTGCTTGTGTCCCTGCTCTTGCTATCTCTCTCTCTGTCAAATAAATAAAATCTTTAAAAAATAAATAAATAAACCAGGAGCCTCTGCCTACCTCCCCCTGGCCCCAGAGGATGCTGGGTGCTGAACCTGGGCCTCAGAGGACAGAGGACTTTGAATGGGAGAGAGTGAGGCTGGCACTCAGCATGTCTGGACCCAAGTCATCACCACCACCACCACCCACCCCACCCCACTCCCTCCTCAGCCTCAGTGTCCACATCTGTAAGCAGGTGTTGTTGGCTAAGTGGTCCTGGGCTATAAGGCTCAGATGACTTTCATTTACAGCTGCCCTACCTTGGACAAGCAGTTCAATAATTCTACATCTTAGTGGTGCTGTGAGGATGCGACGAGAGAGTTAGTGCGCATGCTTAGGGCAGTGCCCACACATTGTCAGCAGCATTCCAGAAGGCTCCTTGTGACAGTTACTTTGGCTGAACAGAGGCAGCCAGCAGTGAGGTACAGAATGTACTCTGGAGTGAGACAGCCTGGATTTGAACCCTGCCTGGCTCAGCCACTTACTAGCTCCGTGACCTTGGGCGAATCACTTAAAGCTCGCTGTGCCTCAGTCTTCTCATCTGTAAAAAGGGAATAATAATCACACCTATCTTGCGGGGTTGTTTGGAGACTGAAATAAGTTAATACCTACGCAAAGTGTTCCCAACAGCGCCTGACAGCACCAGATTCGTAGTTTTACTCTTGTCGGTATTGGTATCGCCTCCTTGGCCATTCTGGCTACTGCTCCGACGGCCGGGGCCGCCGAGCACCGCGGGTTTTGCCGACTCATCCTCGCCGGGCAGGTCCGGCCGCCCCCCTTGTCCCCGCTCCCGCCCCCGCTGCGGGCCTGAGTCACCCGGGCCTCCGCGTCAGCCGCGCCCCTCCCGCCCAGCGACCTGCAGACTCACCCTGAGTCAGCCTGCCCGGGCGCTTCCACCCCGGGACGCGGCGAGGCAGAGGGGAGGCTGCGGGGCGCCCCCCGGCGGACAGGCCGAGCCCCGCGCGGGCCGCGGCGCGCAGCCGGCGGGGAGCGCGGGGCCGGACCACTTCCGGGCGGGGGGGACAGGCGCTCGCCCCGGCGGCCGCCCCCGCCGCCTTCGCAGAGTGGTACGGCCCGGCCGGGGTTAAAGCTCGCGGGCGGCGCGGCTGCGGCGGCGGCGGAGCGATGGGGCTGCGCGCGGGAGGAGCGCTGGGCAGGGCCGGGGCCGGGGCCGGGGTCGGCCGGGGGGCGCCTGGGGGACTCGGGCCGAGCAGCGGCGCGCAGGGCGGCAGCATCCACTCGGGCTGCATCGCCGCGGTGCACAACGTGCCGCTGAGCGTGCTCATCCGGCCACTGCCGTCCGTGCTGGACCCGGCCAAGGTGCAGAGCCTCGTGGACACGATCCGGGTGAGGCCCGGGGAGGCGGGCCGGAGGGAGGGCTCCGCAGGAGGGAGGTCACACTGGACTCGAGACGGGACTGGTTCCAGGCGCTCCGCCGGGGCCCAGCATTTGCTGTGTGACCTTGAGCAAGGCGCTGGGCCTCTCTGGGCCTCTGTTTCCTCGCTTGAGCAAGCAGGAGATTGGAGGAGATAATTTTAAAAAAACGATCGCGAACTCTGTTTATAAAGCTAGCACTTGCAGTGCCCAGGAGCTGTTTCAAGTGCCTGAGCTTCATGCCAACCCTGTGAGGTAGATGCTACTACTGTCCCTCTTTTACAGACGGGGAAACTGAGGCACGGAGGATTTTTTTTTTTTTTAAGGTAACTTGTCCAAGGTCAGGCACTTTGAAAGTGGCACAGACTGGCTCCAGTGCCCAGCAGCTTGGCCACCACACTCTGGAGTTAAGCCATGCTGTCATTTCTGGCTGTTACAGTCAGTGGCTGTGGGACTGGACATGTCATGTCTGCTGGGAGGCCCTTGCTGCAACTGGATCTGGGAGAGGACAGGGATCAGCCCCATCACTGAGGGAGGGTGTTGAAGGATGGGGAAGTGATCCTGGCAGGAACTTTATGGGAGGAAAGGAACATGTGTGTCAGGTTGGGCCTGCGTAGCATCGTGTCACCTTTCCCCATCAGACCCTTGGAAGGTGGTCCTGGGAGACTCCAAGGCCCCACCAGACCCCTCTACAGCTCCCCAGATTGCCACAGGGCCTGCTCCCTCTCTTGGCTCAGGCCTCTGCCCCCTCTCTGCCCTTGCTAACACTGCCCTGGCCTCTCAAGATTTCCCCCTTAACCCGAGGTATTTTCCCATAAAGCACTTCTGTCCCTCTGGCTTATATATTTGTTTGCATTCTATTGTCTGTCTTCTCAGGTCAACTGCACAAAAGCGGGGACTTTGGTCATATCCTGGCGGTTTCCTCAACACTAACTAGCATGGTGCCCAGCTGTTTGTGGAGGATCTAGCCATGTATGCGCTCTCCCACCCATGGGCCTTTGCACAGGCTCTTTTACCCCTGCCAGGAACTCTTCCATCTCTTCCTTACTGTTTCTAACTCCTTCTTGGTCTTACTGTCCCAGTGTCCGTGTGTTCCCTGATGCCCCCCTACTGGGTTAGTGGCCTCTTGTGGGCCCCCAGACAGCTGCATGCTCAGCAGCATAGCTCCGATCCCCCTGGGTTTTAATGGCCTGTTTAGACACCTGTCTTCCATGCTAGAACCATATGCTGGTGGAGGGCAAGAAGCAAGCCTGTCTTTACTTACCATATGTATTCATTTTCTATGGCAACTGTAACAAATTGCCAGGAGTTAGTGGCTTAAAACAATACAAATGTATTATTTCATAGTTCTGTAGTTCAGAAGTCCAAAATGGGTCTCAGTGGGCTACAATCAAGGTGTCAGCAGGGCTGCATTCCTTCTGGAGGCTCTTGGGGAGAATCCTTTTCCTTGCCTTTCCCAGCTTCTAGAGACCACCCACAATCTTTGGCTCATGGCTTCTTTCCCCCCATCTTCAAAGCCAGCAACATCAGACCTCCTCTTTTGCCTTTTCCACTTTCAAGGACGCCAGTGATTACATTCAACCCATCTGGATAACCCAGAATAATCTCTCCATCTCAGGATCCTTAACTTCATTCCATCTGCAAAGTCCCCTTGGCCTACCCAGGCTCCAGGGATTAGGACGGGGACGTTTTGGGGGGCCATGACCCCGCCCACCCACCATCGTGCCCCCCGGCGCCCAGCACAAGGCCCGTCCAGCACCGGCTCCTCGTTCATGCCCCTCTGCCGGATGGGCTGTGCTCCACACCTCCCAGGCGTCAGCTCTGTGACTCTTCACCTGCAGCCCCAGAGAGCGTCCACACCCATTTTACAGATGAGGAACGGTGCTCAGAGAGCTGAGGCCGTTTGCTCTGGGTCCCCCAGCAGCTCTGTGGAGGAGCTGAAATTCAGATTCAGGATTTTTTGGGTTCCAGAGCCCCCGCCTGTCACTGCTGGGCCTTACTGCTTACTAGTCATTTCTGGAATAAATGGATAAATGAACCCATTAAATAAGCATAATAAAAGAGAACCCATGGGCCAGTTGGCAGGAGGCCTTCTAGGCAGCTCACGCCTAATGTGGTCTCCCCACTGTGCTCCATCCCCCCACCCCCACCCCACCTCGGGCTTTACCCACTCTGCACCTCGCTGCTCAGGCCCCTAACAGAAAGTCAACCTGGATTCTCTTCTTCCTCTTCTCCTTACATTCAGCCCTTCTGCCAGTCTCCTCAGAGCTGCCCCCATGTCCTGAACCTGTCTGCCTCTCCCTGACCCATCCACGTCTTCATCCAGACCAGGGTCTTCTGCCGGATACCTGCTAAGGCCTCACCTTGGTTTCCCCTTTGTCCACCCCTTTGTTTTGGTGAAACCTGCTCTCTCATGACAGCTTTCTAGAAGGGTCATCCAATCATGTCACCCGCCACTGTTAGAAACCAACCTGCACAGTCTGGCTCCTACTGACCTTTCTGACCTCTTATACTCCTCGACCTCGAGCCCATTCTGATTACACTGGCCTCCTTGCCATGCCTCCAGCATGGTGAACTTGTTCTGGCCTCAGGTCTTTTGCATTTGCTATTCCCTCCAGTAATACAGAGCATACATTACTGAGCACTTTCCATGTGCCAAGCGTTGTTCGGAGTGCTTTACATACATTAGCTCACTTAACAGCTCTATGAGGTGGGTCTCTTGTCTTCATCCCTATTTGATAGACGGGGCAGGTGAGGCGCAGAGATTAATTGTCCAAGATGACGTAGCAGTTATGTAGCAGAGCTGAGATTTGAACCTCGGCAGTCAGGCTCTGACTCTATAAACTGTTCCACCTGTCTCTCTTCCCAAGCCAACTCCTCTGCGTTCCGTCTCTGCTCCCTCGTGACCTCAGAGAGCCCTCGCGGATGCCCATCCCGGGCCTGTCAGCCTGTGTTATTGTCCTCACAGCGTAGGTCATTCTAGCTCTCACTTTTTCGTTCCATCTGCCCCACCAGACTGGAGTCCCGTGAAGGCAGGGGCTATGCCTGGCCCATTCTGGCTGTACTTTATTCCCGGAGTCTAGAACAGGGCCAAACAGAGAGTGTGTATGTGGTATAATAATAAACTGATAAATGTTTAACAACCTGGTCTCTAGGGGGGAAAAGCCCTGATTTGTAGCATCTGCTCATTTCCCTGATGTAAATCAGTGTGGCTGATTTTCAAGCTACTGAGTTGATGACAACCAGCTCACAAAATTCCTGAATATTTAACAGTTGTCTCTCATAAGCCAGCATGAGCCAGTGAGTACCCTGTTGGAGCTCAGCGCGGTTAACAGAGTCCGCACCGCAAACCGCCACGCCTTGCGCCGTGCTCACTGACACTGTGTCCTCTTCTCTAGGAGGATCCAGACAGCGTCCCCCCTATTGACGTCCTCTGGATCAAAGGGGCCCAGGGTGGTGACTACTTCTACTCTTTTGGGGGCTGCCACCGCTATGCGGCCTACCAGCAGCTGCAGCGAGAGACCATCCCTGCCAAGCTTGTCCGGTCCACCCTCTCAGACCTCAGGGTGTACCTGGGTGCTTCAACACCAGACTTACAATAGCAGCCTCCTTGGCGCCTCCCAACACTCCCAAGAGCCCGGAAGACACACCTGGCCTCCAGGGCGCCAGGCCATGCAGGAAGCGATCAGGGGCTCAGGGGCACGTTCTCTGTGCCTAGGGGGCGGTCTGACTCTGAGCACCTGTTCCACTAGCTGCAAGACCATGGACTCATTACTGAACAATGTGGGAGCCCCAGATCCCACTGCTGCAGAAACGGGGACGTGTCTTTGCTCTCGAGGTATTCTTGAGAGAATGAAATGGAAAAGGAGGTGGGTTGGGAGAGCGACCTGTTCCTGGCTCCAGATTTCCCAAGCACAGGGTCCTACATTTTTTTGTCTGTGTATCTCCCATTATGTGGAATACGTTCAGCTGCAAGTAAAGGAAAGCCTAGATTACAGTGGCTTAAACGGAGAGAAGTCTGTCCACACAGCGTGAATTCTGGAGAGAGGTGGTATTGGTTCAGCACCCCAGTGAAGATAGGGCTCACATCTCTGATTCCTTTTGGCCTTTCCCTCATTGCTTGTTACTTCATGGTCAAAGATAGCTGCTGGACCTCCAGAAATTGTGGCTGTGTTCAAGGAAGAAAGATGTGGGGGAGGAAGAAGGGCCAAGCCAGCTGTCGACTTCTATCATGAACTCAGACCTTTTTCAGAGGCCTGTTTCCTGTTCTACCCCCTGCATATTTCTACTTAGGTCTCCTTGGCCCAAACCAGCTACAGTTGCCACCCCTGGCTGCAAAGAAAGCTAAGATGGCAGGGAACAGAATTGTCATAACCAGTAGACCCTTCATATTCCATCTCGTGGAACTGGCACACTGCTTCCTGAAATAAAATCCCATTACCAAGAGAGAAATAAGGAATTGTGTATCAGTTAGTCTTTGCCGTGTAACAGACCATCTCCAAACTTGACAGCTGAATGCACGTCATTCATTTGCCTACAGTTCTGCAGGTTTGCAATTTGGGCTGGACACATGGGGATAGTTCTGCTGGGTTAGCCCAGCATCACTCCCAAGGCTGCATGGAGTCAGCTGTTGCCTCGAATAGGGCTGGATGGTCTAAGATGGCCCTACTCACTTGTCTGGCATTTGGCAGGCTAGTGGCTGGGTGACTTTGTCCTCGTTCATGCTGCGGTCTCACCAGCAGTTTCACTCAGGCTTACTGACATGGCTTCAGAGTATCATGAGAGTGAAAGTAGAAGCCGCAAGGCAGATGGATCTCTCCCAGGGCTGGGCCTGCTCTACTAGGGGCATCTGTCATGGTCTGCACTGGTGGGGTGGGGGTAGGCCAGATGGGACATTCCAAAGGGGCTTCTGAAAACAAGAGTCCTGGGTGAAGGGAGGAGGGACAGGAAGGGTGCAGAGTGAAGCAGGTTTTGCTCTCACTGTTCTGCTAAGGGATCTCGGTCCCTGGATGTTTTCAAGCCTCAGTTTTCCCAGCTCAGTAACCAAGACAACAGCTTTCCCACCCATTCTCTGTCCCAGGGAAAGATGACTGAGGTGACCAATTTAAATGTAAAATGAATATAGTCCTAAATGCAGTGTAATATCCTAGAACCAAAAAAAGGACATTGGTGGAAAAACTGGAGATCTGAATAAGGTGTGGATTTTACTTAATAATAATATACCAATCTCAGTCTCTTAGTTTTGACAAATGTACATGTAAAACGTAAGGTGATGGTGGGGTAGGCTGGGTGCAGAATTTGGGGGAACTCTTTACTCTCTTTGCAGCTTGTCTGTAAGTCAAAAATCATTCCCAAATAAAAGCTCATTTAATAAAAATGAGAGGGTGTACTTGCTTTGGACTGCCAGGTGAGGTTCTCAACAGGTTTGCTACAACACGGATTGCTGGGCCCCAGCCCCAGAGTCTCTGACTTAGCAGGTCTGGAGTGGGGCCTGCGGATTTGCTTTTCTAGCGAGTTCATGGTGCTGCTGCTGCTGCTGCTGTCCAGCGACCACAAGCTGAGACCACTGATCCAGACTTAGGCAATGATTTTCAAATATGGTGACACCCCCTCCACCCACATTGGGCTGAGTCCCAGGAGCCCATGTTATGGGATTAGCTTGTGCACCCACCCATTCATCGTAGGGCATTGGATGAGCCCCTCCCTGGAGGTTTTTTCTAAGCTGTCAAATGGACTGTCTACCCCTGAGATTTGTACCAAGGGTCAGGAAGCTGAGGGCAGCTTTTGTAAACCGCTGTCATGAGGTGCCACTGGTTCATGTGAGTAATCACCTCTTCCTGACCCACTGGTCTAGGATACCAGAACGGTTGCCCCTTCCTGAGAAAGCTTTTCCTTCTTGCAGGTAAGACCCAAGCAGACAGCACTAGGGGCCCTGTGTCTAGACACTGGGAGGGCGGTGCGGAATAGATTTGAAGTAGGAGGGATTGGTCATTCTTTTATTATTATTATTTTTTTAAATTTGAATTCAATTAGCCAACATAGAGTACATCGTTAGTTTCAGATGCAGAGTTCAGTGATTCATCAGTTGCACGCAACACCCAGTGCTCATCACAAAAAGTGCCCTCGTTAATGCCCATCACCCAGTTACCCCATCCTCCCACCCACCGCCCCTCTAGCAACCCTGTTTGTTTTCTAGAGTTCAGAGTCTCTCGTGGTTTGACTCCCTCTTTGATTTCTTGCCACAGAAGAGGAGCAGGGTTTTGAAATGGGCTGGTTGCTCTCAGTGGAAGCTGAGAGCTGCATTTTTCTCTTTGCGCCAGCAGGTGGCGCTGCTTCCTGGCCTGCCACAGCAGAGCGGGGCCTCTAGCCTGCAGAGCAAGTTCTGTGGGAAGAGTGTGGAGGGAGGGGCTTGACTGCGAGGGAGATGAATCAGGTGCCCAGAGAAGCCAGGGGCTTCAGGCTTGCGGAGACCTGGCTGGGAGTTTCAGGTTCTATTTACCCTGTCCACTCCTGCTCTGTGGTCATACACACATCATGGCCTCTCTGGTCTACACTGGGGGGTACTGAGCCAGATGGTCTCAAGCTCAGCAAAGGTGGTACCTCCTGCAAGAAGCTTCCCGATACTTCAGGCTGAGCCACATGCCTCTTCTGGGCTCCCCAGTCTGTGTGTCCCCTCCCCAGACAAACCACTGCCCCCCAGGAACTTGGGTCCAGTGAAAGTATGTGGGGACTCCTTAGGCACCTCGCTGCCCTGGAACCACCCCCAGTCACCACGGAAGATTTAAAATGGTTTTTAATTTCACAAGTTAGACGTGCATAATTCACCTTTTAAACATAAAGATATTAAAATGCTAAATAATTAAAAATTCGAATAGGAGAGGCAAGCTGAGACCGGCTGTGAGTCCTAGTCCTGGTGGCCCTTCCCCACTTTTGGGACAGTTGCCTTCATGACTTTGGCATATACCCTTCCAGACCTTGTTCTAACTTTGTAGTAATGTAGTGTGTAAGGTATAAGTAAAGCATGCTTTTCTTTTTTACATTATTTTGCAGATTGCATTCCTCACCCCAGCACTGTGCCATTCACCCCATTATTAGCCATTATTTGCCATTCACCCCATTAATTGTCTTTGCTCTTCTCCCAGAGTCTCCCTCATTCTGGTCACTTCCTCAAAGGGGCCTCCCCTAACCATTCTGTCTAAAATGGTCTCCCTCCCCTATCATTCTGTCACCTTACTCAGCTTTATTTTCTTTGTGGCATTTATCACACTCTCCGAAATTATCTCCTGTGTCTGTTTCTGTCTGTCTCACTGGCTAGAAAACATTGTCCAGGCAAGACTTGATCTATCTTATCACTGTAGGCCCACCGCTCAAAACATAGTAAGTGTTCAATAAATATTTGTTGGATGAATAAGTTCCATGTAGGTCTAGCTCATTCTTTTAATTACTATGTGGCATTCCAAGGTCTGAATACCACCATTTCCTAGTCATTCTCCTGTTAATGGACAGTTGAGCCTTCCCGTTTTGCTGTTCTGAACAACTTTGATGGCACTCTCCATCCTCTCTCCACTGTATCCCTGGGAGAGGGACTGCCTGGCTGATCCATAGCTCAGTTTCTGACTTCTAAGGTACGAGCAGATTGCTCTGCAGGGTGGCTGTTCCAAGTGCCTTTTCCTCCAGCAGAGTTTGGAGGGGCTGCTTTCCTTCCCTGCACTCCAGCCAGCGCTTCTTAACCTTTTTTTGGGTCATGAACATAGTTGAGAATCCAAAGAAAGCCACAAGCCCTTTCTCCAGAACACACACACACACACACACACAAATATGTTGGGCCATTTCTGGGGCTCCTTGGACTTCATGGCCTCATCCCCCAGGGGACCCTGTATCGAATGTTTAGAAGCCTAATTATCTGATTGTATGGATGGGAACACTGAGGCACACACAGATGGGGGTGTGAATGAATGAATAAATGGGATGTAGTTTTGTGGGGTTCAAGAAAAGTGTTCAGGCCTGATCTGCCTCCAGTCAGAAAAACACTTCCTGGGGGGAAGGGGGGATGGACTCTAAGGGTCTAGGCAGCTCCACCTGTCAGCTCCGGCCAAAGGCAGGCTCAGTCCGGCATCCAGGGTCAAAGTGGGGAAGCAGGCAGAGGCCCTGACTCCCCTGGGCCAGAAGAGGCTGCAAGGCCTTCATCCCTGCCTCCGGTACACATGCGTGTTTACAGCCACATTTGCTTCCCTGCCGGCTCTGCCCGCGCGGTCCGATCTTGACTCTGGCATTCCCACGGAGCGGGAAGGTAGGGAGAGCTCATCACAGAAAGACCATCATCAGAATCATGGTTTCCACACTTGACACGCTAGTCCCGACAGGTGGGCTGGGCAGACATTATCTTCCCTGTGGGACAGATGGGTAAACTGAGGCCGAGGCCGCCCCCCGAGCCGTTAACCGCCCGCCCGCACACACGGACCCCCGCCGGCCATCCGCCCAGCCCTCCCTCGCCGCCCCTTCCCCGGGCCTGACCCCCGGCGCTGCCTGACGGATGACCTCAGCTGCCGCCAATCCATTGGTTCCAGCTCCCGGGGGGGTGCGCGCAGAACAAAGCGCGCTTTGTGGCGGGGCCGTCCCCTCGCCCGGCGCGTCCGCCGCCGGGACCCCCTCCGGAACTCCGAGCGACGCCCCCCGGCCGACAGCCGTGTAATGTCTTCCAGGCCGCGCGGCTCCTTCCAGAGCCCGAGGGCCGCGCTCGCCTCCCCCCCGGCCCGGGGGCTCCCCGGGGCAGCCCAGGGGCCCCGCTCGCCGCCCCCGCCACAGCGGCGGGATTGGAAGGCGCCCCCAGGGGGAGGTCGTGCTGGCCGCCAACCTGTCCTTGCGGAGGGAGCCGGGGGACAG